CCTCCCATCGCCTGCTGGGCAGGCGGTGCCAAAAGCCGAGTGAAGCCATTTCGTCTTCCGCTCCGCACTCGCCGTAGCTGAAGCCGTGCAGTGTAATTCGACGTTTGCCCTGCGGCGTAGACGCGCCCGGAGGGACTGAGCCGACAGGGGGGCGCGTGGTGCAAAGGGCAGGGGTGTCAGGTGGAAGTGATGGCCCTGGGGAGGGGGGGAGCTGCGAGGAGCCTAAGCAGCAGTTAGATTTGAGGGCAAACTGGCTAATGCAAAGGGCAGTTAAGCCCTGGACTGGCTGCCTAGGGAGGCGGTGGGAGTTCTAGCATTGCAGGGCTGTAAGACCGAGGTAGGCACCTCCCGGGCATGGCTGAGCTTCATTTCCTCGGCCTGCCCCGGTGCAGGGGGGCTGCACTAGACGGCCTCTGTGGCCTGGCTGGTTTGACATTTCTGGGGCTCTATCCAGCTGTGCCGGGTTCCTCCCCCAGGATGGTGTGGAATTCTCCGTCGTTGGGCTAATTCACGTGGAGTGGAAGGGTGCAGGCTGTTCTGGGGGGCTGGCTCCATGCCTCCAGGGGGCGGGGCCTTAGGTGGAAGGGGCGGGGCTGAGGGCAGTCAGTCCTTAGCACTGTCCACACTGTGCCACTCTCCCCTCTCCAGCCCTTAGCGCAGTGCGGAGGGCCTGGTGCGGTGCTCCAGCGGCAATTCAAAGGGGCCCGGTGTGACGGCGTGTTGGGGGTCCCCCGTCTCCTGCACCCCGAGATGGCCCAAACAGACTGCACCAGCCGGTGGAATAGAGGAAGTTCATTGCCTCTCCAGGATACAGCACAGCACAGATGGAATCTGGTCACAGAGCTGGGCTAGGATGCCTCAGGCCCCCTTGAGATGGGGGAGACTGGGCCCCTAAACTCCAGCCCCTTTCCCTAGGCTGTCTCCTCCATGCTCCCAGCCAGCAACTAACTAGCCCTCTTCCAGCCCTGCCCCCCAGCCAGGGCAGCATCCACCTTCCTTTGTTCCTCTCCATGGGGGGTGTCTGGCCATACTGGTTTGCATAGTGACTCATCCTGTTTTGCTGGGTCGTGGTACCCACGGCAGCCAGTGGAGGTTACCCCAGAGCCAGCAGCATAGACACCAGCCAGGTACCCCCACTACGTCACACCCGGGGCTCTAGCTGCACCCTTTGCCACCCCGGCTGGAGGCCTGCTCATAAGGCTGGAAGAGGTAAACATCCAGGGTGATGTCGTGGTAGGGCCTTTACCATAGATCACTGCCGCCTCCTGCCCAGCTGGTGAGCTCACGAAATCAGCCGACACGCCGGGCTTGGGGGGGGATGGGGCTGCCTGGACTTGCCTGGTGCAGCACGTCGCGAGGTGTGGGACGCCCCGGTGACGCTGTGTCCCACAAGGCAGAAAAGCAAGCGGGGGAGCTGGGCTAGCTTCGACCCCCAGGGGGAAGAACTGCTTGAGAACTTGAAGGCGGCAGGCGGCCCAGGGGGAGTTGTCTGACTGGAAGCGGGCGTAAGAACGCGCATCACTGCAAGACGCTTTAGGCAAAACGGGTCGCGAGCCCCTTCCTTTTTTAAGGACCGTCTGCTGCCTGGGGCTGTCCCATTTGTGTGTTACTCTTGCGTGAGAAGTTAGGAAGGCCAGGGGGGAACCGGTTTTTAATTCTCAATGTGCTAACGAGGGCCGTTCGTGACACTCGGGAAACATAACGGCCCGGTGCTCAAGTAATCCGGAACTGCAGCCGTTCTCTTAGAGACTTTACTATAGGTGCCAAAGTAATTCTGCTCTCCTCGGCGCTCGCACCCCCTCAGCTGGGCTGTTGGGCCCAGTGGTGGGCACTGTGCAGCAGGAAGGACAGAGCTCTCCCCGGGACTTTTCCCAGTTAGCTACACGGCGATTACGGGGCTAGAAAACGTCAGCAAAGGAGAGACTGAAAGCGAAAGCGGGCTGGGGCAGTTGGGAGAGGAGAGGCTGCGGCCAGGGCCGGGATAAATCTTTAGCTCCCTGAACACGCATGGTGAACAGAAGGGTGCTGATGAATTGTTCTCTCAGCCGCCAAGCCAAAACCAAGCCGCGCTGGCTCACCCGGTAGTTGGCGGTGAAGCCCCGGGAAGAGTCCGGTTAAGTCGTGGAACAGGAGCATAGAAAGCTGCAGCCTCTCCGTCCCTGGGCGTCTCCCAGAGCGGGTTCAACACGCCCAGCTCTGCCATGGAGCAGCTCAATTGCTCATCCCCTGCCGGCTCTGGCGCTCCCGAGATCCGCCCGCCTCCTGCACGTGGCTCCGCACGCCCCTCTCCAGCACGCCCTCGTGGTAGACCCTGGCCTGAGCCGGGCCCCTGTGATGGGGGGGTTGTAA